CACACACACACACACACACCACATAGGGAAAAGACTAAGAGCCCATTTGGATTAGCTGTTTGTAAATAGTTGATAAGCTTGAAGTGCTGAAAAATATTTTTAAGTGTTGAAACTTATTTTTTAAATAAACATTTACGTGTTTTGATAGACGTACTAAAACTCATAATAAACAGTTCATGTGTTTGGTAGAAAAGTACTGATAAGTTATTTTTTTAGTTAGAAAGACTAAAATATCCTTTTAAACCTTACAAAAAATTATAAATTAAAATAAATTTATAAAGAAAAGGATGAGCAACGAACATGGAATAAAAAGAAAGTTAGAAAATTTATTTTGGGAACAATATTTTGTGAATTAAAAAATATTATTAATGATAAACTAGTAAAAGCCTTGGTCAAACTAAGTGGGCATTTGGACATAAGAATTGTAAAATTTCAAAACAAAGTGAAAATGATATTTGAAAATTAGAGTTGTGTTTGGACATGAATATAATTTTGGATTTTTTTTGAAGTTTTGTGACTGATCTGAGTAAAAATTTTGGAAAACAGTTTTTTGGAGTTTTTCAAATCCATAATTCATCTTCAAATGAAAATTAAAAATTTTATGGCCAAACATTGATTTCGAAAAAAAGTGAAATTTTTTCGAAAAAATGTGAAAAAATTCTTATGTCCAAACGGGGTCAAGTGAAGCTGAAAAGTCATAAGTTGGGAGGTAACCAATTTTTGACTTATGGATAATTTTAGCTTATAAGTACTTTGGATATTTATCAAACGCGTAAATAAGCCAAAAGGTGCTTATAAGCAAGTTTGACCAGCTTATAAGCTTACCCAAACACCCTCTAAAAACACGAGCATTTTCTCTTTTGTGCCGCCAATATCTATCCCTTATTTTTAACCAATTAGGATCAGAATAATCAAAATTATTAATCATAAGTACCCTAACATAGATAATGATCACATTTTAAATTTTCAAATCTAATATGATACTCAACGATTTCCGGTAACATTTGAAACGTAGCTAGTATAACTTATAGGGAGTGAACATAGAACGTCCCCTAAACTGATGCCAAGGGTGACTTCATAAAAGTAGTGGCCTAAAGTCAAATTTTAATAAAAATTTTATACTTTTTTATTAGTACATATACACACATATATGCAAAAAAAATTAATCTTGCCATTTTTTTCTTACTTGTTGTTTATAATATATTTTAAATGATATAAAATCTTTAGCTTCATATAGTAATATTATTATTTATATTAGAAAAGGGGTAATTTAAATAAATGAGATGTTAGACATGTAGTTGCAATATGGTACCTTTAATATTGTTGTAAAAAATATATTTACTAATATGAAGATTTAAGTGGTTTAATTTAGAGTTTTAAAAATATTTTCATTGTTAAAGAGTAGACATCTTTCTTTCTTTTTTTATAGTTTTTTTGAACTTATTTTTTCTAAAAACATTATATTGTCTAGTTTGAAATAAAACACTACAAGAAAAATGGCTTTTAAGGACGAGAAAAATGGTCCCTAAAGGTCTGTTCTAGTCCTTAAATGTCATTAACGCCCCTCCCTCTAGGCTTCGCCGCTAAAGCTTAATAACGACGAGGTTACATTTCTGGTCCCTAAAATGTTTTGCGGCCAGTTAAATTCTAGTCCTTAAAGTGCTTTTGGGGAGCAGATTTTTAGTCCCTAAACATCGATAAATTGGTGCCTAAAAACTTTCAGCGACTAATTTTACTGGTCCCTATATTTATACATGCTCTTTAATTGTCCTAATTTTAAAATATTATACNTATATATATATATATAAAAACAATGATACATATGTCATAATATTGTTTACACAATCGCTTAGTGCAAAACACTAATAGTCCTAGCAATAGTCATAGCAAAATGATAGCCAACTCGTGAACATATTATGTCTTCAAAACTGCATCTCTTGAAAGTCTTCAAACCCTGTAAAACAAGAACTATAAAGCTCGACTACAAAGTGGTTAAACAATTTTACCGTTAATACAATTCTAACAATGGCCTAACCACTTACCACAATAAAGTTCATATTCATCAAGTGTAAGTATATATACTTCAAAAATCAAACATCAACGTGCATAGGGGCTGCAATAATACAAACAATAATGATCAGGAAAAACACATATACATAAGTGGTTATTATATATGATTCTAGAGCAATAACTCATTTGAATAATCAAAATCAATACGATAATCAAAACTAAACAGATTTTAAGAGATTTTGATATGAGAAATTACCACATTCTATTTTCAGAGAATACTTGAGATGAATGACACACAACATTATGTGAGCTTTGCTTAAGTTAGAAGAAAACTCAACAAAATATTCATTCTTTCAGTGTTATATGGGAGTATATCTTATGTCTGCTTCATTCTTCCTATCCTTGGAAGCTTCTCTAAGCCACTTTGTTCATAAAATCAGAGTTCTTCTCCTAAGGCAAATCAACAACTGAAAAGAAAAAATAGCATAAGCAACTAAATGTAGTTAAAAAAATAACACCTTCATGAGATGATTTAACATCACTTATGCACTTAGGCGTTTCAAATAGACAATAGGAAGCAGCATTTCAACCAAATATTCGTACCTCAATCCTAGCCCAAAGCTCATAAGCTAAATAATGATCCCACTGTTGTAGTACCATCAAATACCGCACTGAAAGAATTTAATGATTTGTTAGCATCCATAATCTGAAGGTAGATGATTTTTTGAACCCTATAAACAGGATGCAAGGCATATAAGAAAAAAAATATTATATTCAATAATGTTAGGTTGCTCACAAACGATTACAGAAATGGCTGGAAAAGTGTTTAAGGCATATATATAATTCTTATGGGAAGCTCTCCGTAAATGTATTCTCATAATCTTTTTGTAGTTGTTTAAGTGCTCCAAAATATTGTGATAAAGAGTGATGTATCGACGTGCTACAGCTTATTAGCACCATATTATACAGTATCATCTATCAGATAGACTAGTTTTGTGTTGTACATAATATACAGAGAGTGTTAACAAGGATTATTCTCTTACTATATTTTGTATTAACCAGACATAGAGTAAACTTCCGATCTAAGTCATCATTAGAGCTTAGAATCATTACCTAATCAATGTTAGAAGAGAAAACTCAGATAGGAATGAACCTAACTCAATGTTATTGTTTATACAAATCTAAACACTATGTCACGACCCAAAATCCCAACCTGTCGTGATGGCGCCTATCTCAATAGGCAAGCCGATAATATCAATAAACCACATTTTCTTTTAAGTTTGAAAATATAATAAATTTGAGTTTAATAAAAGGCTTCCCAATTTCCGATACAAACACTCCCAAAACCTGGTGTCACTAAGTGCATGAGCATCTAATCTGAATACAAGTCTGCAAAATACGGTACATAATAGTCTGAGACCAAATGCAGTAAATAAGTTGATAGGGAAGGAGAGACAAGGTCTGCAAAACATGACAGCTACCTCTGAATCTCCGAAAAATCAACTATGCGAAATAATCATCCGCTATGTCCGGGAACACCTGGATCTGCACACGAAGTGCAAGGTGTAGTATGAGTACAACCAACTCAGCAAGCAACAATAATAAATAAAGAACTGAAGATAGTGACGAGCTACACAGTTATAGTTCACTTTCAGTAATTCCAGCAAAGAATAGAGATGCTTTCAAATCCAACAGTTTAAGTCAAATCAATTTTATACAGTTCAAGTTCATGTAATCCGGATATAAAATCTTTCAAAGAATTTCACAACAATGACAGATAGCAACTAAGTGCAACAACAAATAAAAAGCAAGTACAGCCTCTCAGGGCAACAGTCACTTAACTCGTCACAACAGCTCAACCACTCGGCTCTCAGCCCTCAGCACTCTCACTCAATGGGTACTCGCGCTCACTGGGGGTGTACAGACTCCGGAGGGGCTCCTACAGCCCAAGCGCTATAATCTGCACGGCCAACTCACGTGTTGCACGGACAACTCACGTGCTATAATATAAATATCTGGATCTGCACGGCCAACTCACGTGCTGCACGGACAACCCACGTGCTATAGTATCAATATCTGGATCCGCACGGCTAACTCACGTGCTGCACGGACAACTCACGTGCTATAATATCCCGCACGGACAACTCACGTGCTATAATATAATATCTCACAATCAGGCCCTCGGCCTTACTCAGTCACAAATCTCTCCAGTCTCTCGGGCTCTCAATAATCATAAAATCAGCCCAAACAACAATGATATGATGCATCAAGAATGAACAATAGAGATTGAGATAAAATAAACAAGTAAACTGTGACTGAATACAAAACAACAATTTAAGCAGATAATTCAACATATATACGACCTCTGTGGGTCCCAACAATACTAACATATAGCCTAAACATGGTTTCTAGCATGACTTATAGTCAAGTTTCCACAACACATAGAGAGCACATAACTATCAAAAAGTTACTCAGCTTTACAGTTTTCACGGGACGGACCAAGTCACAATCTCCATCGGTGCACGCCCACACGTCCGTCACCTAGCATGTGCGTTACCTCCAAAAGTAATCACATGAAACCAAATTCCGAGGTTTCATACCCTCGGGACCAGATTTAAAACTGTTACTTACTTCAAACCGTGTAATTCTTTATTCCGATATGCCATTGCCATGAGAATTGGTCTCCGAAGCCTCGTATCTAGCCACAATTAATTCGATTCAGTCAATACCAATTATTGTAATTAATTCCATAAGGAGATACTAATTTTTTCAATAAAATTCAAAATTAACTCAAAAATCGCCCGTGGGGCCCACATATCGGAACCCGAGTCCGTCCACCACGAGTCCAACCATACAAATTTTACCAAATTCCGACATCAACTCGACCTTCAAATCTTCAATTAAAGTCTTTGAAGATTTCTACCATTTTCAACCCAATCTTTACCCATTTGAACTCAACAATCTTTCCATAAAACTTATTGATATGTATAAATAATACTATTATACCCAAAAATCATACTCTTAATCACTTATCTTTACCCAAACTCGAAATTGAAGACTAGGGGTTAGAACCTTACCTCTTGGATAAAAATCTTGTGATATTTCCTTGTTGGATTTAAAAACTTGAACAAGAACTTGATGAACAAAGCACTTGAGCTTCTTCCTCTCTCTAGAATACTCTTCCTTCTCTCTAAAAATGTCAGATTTTTGCTCCAAAATGAGTCTTAAAACCTATTTATCAAAATGGGATCTGGTTATGAAAATAGAAAAATTAACCCTCCGAAAGCAGGTCTGCGGTCGCATAATGGACCACAGAATGGGTATGCAAGCCGCAAAGTTGATCGCAAAATCAGTGCCCAGAACTGGGCTCTTCTGGTCCATTCTGCGACCAGTTTACGGTCGCAGAAGCAGTTTTGCGATCGCATAACTATTTTGCGATCGCAGAATTGTATTTTTCCAGCCTTTGATAATTTAGTCATAACTTTTTGTAAGAATGTCCAAATGACAAACGGTCTGAAAAGTTAGAAACTAGACTCAAAGATATTTCATTTGATAGGTAATACACCATATAAAACTTTGTATCATGAGAGTTATGCTCATTTGAAGTTGGGTCTTGTGCGAACTCACTTGAACTTTAGTCTATTATGAAATTTCCAACTTCTACATTCGATGTCGAAATTACCGAATTAAGTCCGATAGACCTCAAATTTTGCACACAAGTCATAAATGATATAACGAACCTATTCCAATTTTCGGAATCAGATTCCGACCCCGATATCAAAAAATAACCCCCGGTCAAACTTTCCAAAAATTCAACTTTCGTCATTTCAAGCCTAATTCTACTACGGACCTCCAAAAAAATTTTCGGACACGCTCCTAAGTCCATAATCATCATACGGAGCTATTGGAATCATTAAAACTCTATTCCGGGGTCGTTTACACATAAGTCAACATCCGATCAACTATTTCAACTTAAACTTCCAACATGAAATTCATTCTTCCAAGCTAACTCCGAAATACCTTAAAACCAAAACCGACAATTCACACAAGTCATAATACCTCGTAGGAAGTTATGCAAGATCTCAAATAGTTGAAAGGAGCGTAAATGCTCAAAATGACCGGTCGGGTCGTTACACACCATATCATCCACTGCCTCTGTTTCCTTAAGATTCTTAGAGGCTTAACAACTACAATTAATGGAATATGCTATTCATTTTCCTAATGCTACATAAATAGCCTCTTTCTCACCATAAGTTGAGAAATCGAGTTCATTTGCAGTGTACATAAAAATAAAGCTATGTGACTATTATGTTTACTTCAAATGTGCAAGAATGAATATCTTTCAACATACAATTGAAGTGCTTAACAAGAGTAGTATGACAAGATTTAATTCGAACTAGGTTCGGTACTTTTCGCCCAGATCCGGTAAATCCAGTAGGTGTTGCTCTATTCTTTCATTCTTTTAAGGTTTGTTTCTCTGCACCCAGAGTAATTAAAACACCAGCATTTAACATTAAATCTAGCTTTAGATAATGCTCCAAGGAATATATTCAATTATCCCCCAAATATTTTTTAAAAGGAATACTTCAAGAAAGGGAGTAATCTAGTCTAACAAAATTGACCAATCTATGTAGACCAAACGAAAAATAAACTTTAATTCTGAATACAAGATATAAAAAGCACTAAAAGCAAATGCACTAACCAATAAGAAAAACTCTGCACCCATGAGAAGCCGTGGACAAAATAGCCGACTAACGACAGAAATCAGTGGTGGGTGAACTAAATCATCACTTTGATTGAGGAAATCAGCAAGAAAATGGCAATGGAAAACCAGAAATAGAAAGAAATCGCCACTTTGATAGAAAATGGCGATGGTCTAGGTTTTGGAGAGGTGACAAAAAAACATGTGCTTTTATTTCTTTAATGTTCAGAAACTTTTATTGTTTTATTTTTTTTATAATTCTTTAGAGGTTAATCGCCATTATTCCCGCTCAACTTAGAGAATTAAGGACCGGCTTTTCATGGTTTTGACGACTCGATTAATTCCTATCACTAACTATACAAACAAAACCGGCAATTAAGGACCAATAGAAAAATCCGTCCTTGTAAGTGTACTTTCAGGGACGAGAATCTTAGCTCCTCGTTAAATATTGGTCGCTAATAAGCTATTGGAAATTTAAATTTGGAGTTTTTTGAGTTTTTCAAATTTTCAAAAAATACAGAATTCATATTCAAGTGAAAATTGAAAATTTTATGGCCAAATATTGATTTCGAAAAAAAGTGAAAAATTTTCGAAAAAATATGAAAAAATTCTTATGTCCAAACAGGCTCAAGTGCTTATAAGCTAAAAAGTCATAAGTTGGGAGGTGACTAACTTTTGAATTATGGCTGATTTTAGCTTATAAGCACTTTAGATGTTTATCAAACGCGTAGATAAGCCAAAAAGTGCTTATAAACCAGTTTGACCAGCTTATAATCTTACCCAAACACCCTCTAAAAACACGAGCATTTTCTCTTTTGTGCCGCCAATATCTATCCCTTGTTTTTAACCAATTAGGATCAGAATAATCAAAATTATTAATGATAAGCACCCTAACATAGATAATGATCACATTTTAAATTTTCAAATCTAATATGATACTCAACGATTTCCGCTAACATTTGAAACATAGCTAGTATAACTTATAGGGAGTGAACATAGAACTTCCCCTAAACTGATGCCAATGGCGACTTTATAAAAGTAGTGGCCTAAAGTCAAATTTTAATAAAAGATTTATACTTTTTATTAGTACATATACCCACATATATGCAACAAAAATTAATCTTGCCATGTTTTTCATACTTATTGTTTATAATATATATTTTTAAATAATATAAAATCTTTAACTTTATATAGTAATATTATTATTTATATTAGAAAAGGGTAATTTAAATAAATGAGATGTTAGACATGTAGTTGCAATATGGTACCTTTAATATTATTGTAAAAAATGTATTTACTAATATGAAGATTTAAGTTGTTTAATTTAGAGTTTTAAAAATATTTTCACTGTTAAAGAGTAGACATCTTTCTTTCCTTTTTTACAATTTTTTTGTACTTATTTTTTCTGCAAACATTATACTGTCTAGTTTGAAATAAAATTACAAAATCCATTATTAAAAATTTTGAGGACCTAAATCAAGGCTTTACTAGTCTCCTACTAGAGCCACTTGCCCACCCTAATATTCTAAATCAAGTTTGTAGAGTCTCAATTAAGACAAGACAATAATGGCAAGAACATTAAAAGTAGTGAATGCGTCATTCAGTTACCAAATGTGAATGAAACTGGTTGAAAAGTTCGTTCATGGTGGGGCAGTAGTCTGTAAATAATTGTTTATCATCAATGAGTGGCGACTCAACAGAACTGATGGCTTAAAACCAAAATATATTAAAAAGACCCTGAAATTTCTTTTATAAAATCCATATAATATTGAGACATACAAAAACCTACATGATTTTGATATAGTGGTGAGAGCGCAAC